GGAAAATGGCTGTTGCTAGTGTGGAAACCTAAGTAGTCACCAAGGAGTCATACTCAAACCTCAAGCCGGCTATTTCAGATTTTCTCAGGTACCTCAAATTTTAAAATTCCCCTACACAAAGGCGTTTTCCAATTCTTTATGTTCCCTATTATTAATGACCCAACTGGTATTAAAACATTTTTTCCTCTTTGAAGGTTCATATCTACTCGTGGTTTTAATGCTATTTTAATGTTAACAGAGTTCCCAACTCTTCCTTTCTTTACTCTTTTTTGAAAACTTTTTTATATAAAATATACTACACATATATAAATGCACAGCTTAAGGAACTGTTATAAAGTGCATATCTATGTAGCCACAACTAAGGCTGGGAAATACAATCTTAAAAGCACTCTCCCCACCCTGCCTGCTAGAGCTGACGAGGATCCTAACCTTTATGGGAATTATGACTTTGCTTTTCTCCACAGATTTCTCCACTAAATATGCATCCATTAACATAGCACTGTTTAATTTTGCCTGTTTTTAGTTTTATATATAAAATCAGACAGTTCCCCTCCCCCAGTCTGGCTTTTCGCCCCACCCCCAGTCTGGCTTTTTCCCCCCCTCAATAGTATTTTTAAGGTATCTCCATGTTGTTACATGTAGCTGTATTTCATTCATTTTCACTACTATATAGCTTACCAGTATATGGCATACTGCTAATTTAATTATTTTTGATGAAGGTCCCTGGGTGGCACAAATGGTTTGCGCTTCATTATCGATCAGGATGTCAATTTGAGCCCATCTAGTTGCACCTTAGAAGAATGACCTGGCAATCTGCTTCTGTAAATTACAGCCAAGAAAACATTATGGAGCTCAATTCTACCCTAGAGCACATGGGGTCACCATTAGTCAGCCTCAACAGCATTGGGTTTGGTTTCTTTATTGTTGATGGACATTTTGGTTATTTCCAGTTTGGGGGCACATAAGCACACACTTCTTTAGGGTTAATATCTAAAACTGAAAACTGCTGGATCATAAGGTATACATATCTTCTATTTTACTAGCTAATGCCAAACTATTTCCCAAAGTGGTTGCACCAGTTTACACTTCCACATACAATATATGCGGGCTCTTTGTTCTGCATCTTCCCCAACACTTGGCACTGTCAGAGTTTTAAATTTATGCCCATCTGGTGAACACAGGGTGGTATTCACCGTGGTTTTAATTTGCCTTCTTCTTATTACTAATAATTAAGCATCTTTTCAATAAACAGCATATGTTTATTGGTCATTTGAATTTCTTCCTTTGTGAAAAGCTGTTCAAGTCATTTACAGTTGCCCTGGAGTCATCTCCGACTCATGGTGACCCCATGTGTGTCAGAGTAGAAGCGTGCTCCATAGGGATTACAATGGCTGATTTTTCAGAAGTAGATCGTCAGGACTTTCTTCCGAGGTGCCTCTGGGTGGGTTCTAATTGGTTAGCAGCCTAGCACGTTAACTGTTTTAACCAACCAGGGACTCAAGTCATTTACCTATTCTTTAATTGGATTCTTCTTGGTTTATAGAAATCAAGACAGCCAAGCAGATTTATTCATTCGTTGCAAATATCTTCTTCCATTCAGCGGCCTGTCTTTCCTTTGCTTTCAATTGGCACAACCTTGGTAACAAGGTCGCCCGACAGCAGTCTCCGGAGAGCTCGCCGGGTCCTCTGGGGTTCTGCCCCTGACGCTATTGTCACAACTGTTTCCACCCTTTGTACCAGGGCAGCGCCATTCGGGACGCGGTGGCCTCAACCCTCGCCGGCCACCTTCGCGAGGAGTGGCCCCTCCGGCCCCCGCCCTCCCGCGCCTCCCCGCCTGCCACCAGGCCCGAGTCGCAGCGGGCCGCTGTGTTGCCCGCGGTCGCCAGGGCAGCGGGGCGACGCGGAAGCCGGGTCTGCGGCGACGCGGGAGGATGCGGGCGGCAGTCGCGGCCGCCGAGGAGCTCTGGGCAGGTGACGGGCGGTTGCCCTGCGGAACAGGGGTGGGCGGCGCTCCCGAGAGGGAGACGGGAAGGGCCGAGACTAGGGGGCAGGGACCGAGGACAAGGCGGAAACGATCAGGACTGGGAGAACTTGAAGGAGCCTGCGGGAGAGCGCATTTGGGACGGGGGCGGGAAGGACAGACGGTGGCCCACGCAGGGACCGAAGGGTCCGGGGCCCGGGGGCCGGATAAGGAAAGGCCAGACGGGTAGAGCAGCCCTGTTTCTCGGTTAATGACCGGTGCAGGACACCAGACCCACTAGTCCCGTCGTCACTTCCTGGACCTTAAAAACGCCCTTTGCTGCCGGGTCTTGACCCTCGGAGAAAGGCAAAGGGAAAAAATAATGGAATGCGCCTTGTGGGCAGCTTCCGGGAGGTTCTAAAACAGAGCAACATTCTCCCTATCATTCATCTTGGCGATAATCAAGCAGAGTTCATTTTCACCTATAGAAGGTATTTCGTTTCCCTACTGCGAGCGGACCCCTGGTGGCACGGTGGTTAAGAGCTCTGCTGCTAACCAAAAGGTCAGCAGTTCAAACCCTCCAGCTACTCCTTGGAAACTCTAAGGGGCAGTTCTACTCTGTCCTAGAGAGTCACTATGAGTCGGAATTGACTCGACGGCAATGGGTGTGGGTTGGGTTTTTTTCCAGTACTAGTGGACAAGACCCAAGGCCACGAAGGGATCCCTATCGAGCTGGTCAGGCTATGTATCTTTGTCCTTGTTTACTTAGAGATTTGACAGCCTTTTCTGTGTTAGAAATTTTAGTGGTACCACAATTGTCCACTGTGCTGTACTGTGGAGTCACGTTAGTTAAAATGCCCATTTTCTAGACTGAATTATTTTATGAAGGAGCAATTTTAAATGGAACTAAAATGATTATTTTAACTGGATTTTTAAGATCCCAAATACAGGCCCTTAACTCTTAAGTACAGCAGGTGTTTATACAAACTTTGTTAATTAAAATGTGTTAGTTACTACTTGCTAGATATGTTGCCTTTCAAAAACACCCTAAAAAGCAACAGTTAATTAGCTTATCAGGATTAAAATAATACTGTAAAATGTAATGCATATTTTTAAAATGAGGAACTTCATACTGCAAACTGGTCTGTAAAATTAGACAATGATATGTCAGTCTACCAACAAGGGAAACTTTGATTTAAAAAGAAGAATCACTGCATGTGTATTTAAATATGAATGTTACCTTTAGTCTGTTAACGTTTGTTAAGTCGCTTCCCTCCAAGGACTTGATGATGTTCCTTGGAAGCATTAGCAACAAGGTCAACCTTAAACCTCCTAAGCAATCCTAGGAGTAGGAATAAGATGTATTATTTAATTAACGTTAGGATATGTCAAAAGAACAATAGTCAGCCATTAAAACACATTTTACAGTAATCTGTAATGGTAAAGTTTTCTGTTATCTGACCTATAGGAAAAAATGGCATGAAGGCAGTGAGATAGAAGACAGACCAAAATAGAAATGCTAGGTAGAGATGAAAGGAAGTACAATCCAAAATATCATTCCTTTCAATCCTATATGAGCTCAAAGCGCCCTTTCCATAAATTGTCTTGTCAGTCTTTATAACAGCCTTTTGAGACAATGAGGGTTCACTTGGAATCATACTCTTAAGCAAGCTGCACAGGCCCCTAGCTGTTACTCAGGCCACTCACCCACCCAGTACTCCCCAGGACAGCATCCTTTTCAGTGGGTGGATATCCAGCCTCTATTTTAAATCTCTCCGTGGTAGAACTTACAAGGCCACCAAATATTTGTTGAATATTTTTATAATTATCAAGTTCTTTGCTATACTGAGCTAAAGTTGATTATCTTGGGGGCAATGGTGGTTCAGTGGTAGAATTCTTGCCTTCCATGCAGGAGACCTGAGTTCAATTCCGGGCCAGTGCCCTTCAAGCACAGCCATCAGTGCAGTCACCACCTGTCTGGCAGTAGAGGTTTGCATGTTGCTCTAATGCTGAACAGGTTTCAGTGGGAGTTTCCAGACTAAGACAGAGTAGGAAGAAAGGCCTGGCAATCTACTTCCAAAAATCAGAAAACTCAGCCAAGGAAAAGCCGATGGATCACAACTGTCCAATTCTGTTGTGAAGGGTGTCACCATGAGTGAGGGGTTGTCATGAGTCAGGGGTTGACTTGATGGCAACTAAAAATAACAAGGTTGATCCCCATATAATATCCACCTAAATTATACTTTCCTATCCAGAAGCAAGCAACCTGGTTATCAAAAAGTCTTTTCCAAAGTATGCAGCCAGCCAAAGTAAGTCTAGGAACAAAACAGCTTCCCTGTTCACTATTCCAGCTGTGGAAACCACACTCTTCTCCTCTTTCAAAAAGGCTGGCCCTGAACCTGTTTTACTCTATCCATGAATACCATGGTACCTGGCATATTTATATTGTTTCCCTGGGTATGTGAAATGAGGCCATTGAAACACTGTCCATAAGTAACCATTTGGCTTTGTCCAGGCTTGTCTATAGCAGGACCTTAGAAGCTAGAAATAGGAATCTGCTTCCAAGCAGCCATTTGATTTCCTCAGTAAAACTACACTCGATTACTCCGGTTGTTTATGAGCTCTACATCAGGATGCGTTTCTGTAGAGAAAAAAAACACAATTGTTTTTCAGATGGGCCTTCCTCAGACACACAAAAGGCTGCGTACAAAAGCTTGCAGATAATATAACAGGGTTCCCTTATTCATTTGAGTTTTTGATTAACATTGGCATTAAGAGATTTCTCTAGTCTCTCTCTCTCTCTCACACACACACACACACACACACACACACACACACACACGCACACACTTGCCCTAGAGTCAATTCTGACTCACTGCAGGTAGAACTGCTCCATAGGGTTTTCAAGGCTGTGACTTTCTGGAAGTAGATCACCAGGCTTGTCCTCCAAGGTGCCTCTGGGTGGGTTCAAACCGCCATCCAGGGACTCCTTATTTGTCACAGAGTTACATAAATATATTTTTTTTTGTAGGTAATGTTTTGTGAACCACAGCTTTATTCAGTCGGCTCCTCCTATCAGCAAGAGGATCCCCTGTTAAGTTTTCAATTTTTCAACATGAGTCATAATAAAGTAATTCCTAAGCTCTCCCTTCAGTCTCCTGTCCATCACACCAAATTAAATGCCCAGTCCACAGTCCGGTCTTTTAAGAAAGAAGGTTTACATCTGATTTCAAAAGACTCCTTGGAATCTGATTCAGAAGGTGTCCCTCAAGAGATCAAGTCACAGTCTGAACTTGAGGGCCAAATCCAGGACAACGACCTGGAACCTGACAGCTTAGAGGAGGAAAGCCCTCAAGGGGAAAGCCTGAGTGAGACAGAAGAGGAGGCGAGCAGAAAAGTAGCTCAGATGGCCAGCGAGGAATACCACCATTCCCAGGGCAATGGCACCAGTCACAGGTAAGGAATTGGCTTACGTAAGGAAACAATGACTTCTAAAATATATTGTTAAATAATTACTGGTAACATTCTAAATGACAGAAAAGGCAGGCTCAATAATGAGTACCTGGTAATGGGTGTGATACAGGCCTCCAAGCAGCCAAGGACAGCTTGGTACCATCCTTTTTGCCACATTCCTTTCTTTTATGGAAAAAAACAATGCAATAATAAATGAATAGATTAACAAAATGTGGTATATACGTACAATGGAATGTTATTCAGCCATAAAGAGAAATGAAGTCCTGGTACATGCTACAACACAGATGAAACATTATGATGAGTGAAATCAGTCACAAAAGGATAAATATTGTATGACCCCAGTTATATCAAATATCTATTGTTGTGTGCTGTCAAGTCAATTCTGACTCCTAGCCACCCTATAGGACAAAGTAGAACTGTCCCATAGGGTTTCCTAGGCTGTAGTCTTTATGAGAGCGGATCACCAGGTCTTTTCTCCTGCAGTGCCTTTGGTGAATTCAAACCCCAACCTTTCAGTTAGCGACTGAGCGCTAAACCACCGCTCCGCCAGGGTTCCTGTATCAAGTATGTAGAATTGGCAAATGTATAGAGACCAAAGTTTATTAATGGTCACCAGGGGTAGGAGGGAAGAGGGAAAAGGGGTGTCATTCCTTAGGGGACACTGAGTGAGTTTCTGTTAAGGAGGATGGAAAAATTTAGAAATGGATAGTGGTGATGGTTGTACAACATGATGAAAGTAATTGATGTCATTTAGTTGCACATGTAAAAAATGTTGAAACAGCAAATATTTTGTTATATATTTTTTAACCACAATATAAATAAATAAATAGAAGATATATATGAAAGACAAGGATAGGTATCATTAAGGGCTTTTGCATTTTCTATGCCCCTTATTTCCTGTCTTTATTCCAAGGGACTCCATTGCTATGACCCCATCTTGGGGAAATCCCAGAAAGCCTAGTATAGAAAAGTATATGAGGAGCTCTAGTGGCACAATTGTTCAATGCTCAGCTGCTAACTGAAAGGTCAGCAGTTCGAATTCACCAGCCACTCCACAGGAGAAAAGACCTGGAGATCTGCTCCCATAAAGATTACAGCCTACGAAGTCCTATTGGGCAGTTCTACTCTGTCCTATAGGGTCATGATGAGTCGGAATCGACCTGACGGCACACAACAACAACCCTGAAATAGTTCAGAGAAAGTCTACCATCATACCATCATGCATGAAAAGCATATGACCTGGAGTCAGGTGGTCTTGGTGTGGTGCAGGTACAGCTGTTTAGTGTGCTATTGGAAATCAGTCACTTAACTCTTCTGTCTCAGTTTTTCTCATATGTCAAATGATCTACCTCTGCCTGTCTCATAGGATTGCTGTGAACGTTAGTAAGATGTGGACCAAGAATTGAGGGTAGGATCCTACCCATTGCATTTCTTCAGGGCTGGGAGAAGTCTACCTTCTGGGACTTGTATGAGCATATAAAGATTAATCAGTACTTTAATATTGGTTAGTTAATAAAACCAGTTGCCATCAAGTTGGCTGGACTCAGGGTGACCCTATGTGGATCAGAGTAGAACTGTGCTCCATAGGGTTTTCAATGGCTGATTTTTTGGAAGTAGATTGCCAGACCTTTCTTCTAAAGTGCCTCTGGGTGAACTCAAATGTCCAACCTTTTGGTTATCAGCCAGTCACATTAACCATTTGCACCACCCAGGGACTCTGATTAATTAGTACAGATCAGATAATCAGTATTTATGGGGTGTTAACTTTATGCTATGAACTACAAGAAGAATACAAGAGAATATAAAATAATGCAATATTACTCAGCTTTAATAGAGCACTGAATGATATGACAGAGCATAAAACCAAAAAAACAAAGCCCTTGTCATTAAGTTGATATGACTCAAGGTGACCCCAAGTGTTACACAGTAGAACTGCTCCACAGACCTTCAGTCTAGGTGAGCGCAAACCTTTGAATCACGCAGGGACCTTGATGATAGAGTACAGAAGTTAAAAGCTGTTAATTAGAAACAGGTTTTAGTGTAATGGTTAAGGCATAGAGTCTGAAGCAGACCAAACCTAAAAAATCAAACATGTTGCTGTCCAGTTGATGTCAACTCATTGTGACCCCATAGGATGGAGCAGAACTGCCCCATAGTTTTTCAAGGGTGTAATCTTTATGAAAGCAGACTGCCACAGCTTTCTCCTGTGGAGCAGCTGGTGGGTTCGAACTGCCAGCCTTTCAATTAGCAGCCAAACGCTTAACCACTGTGCCACCAGGGCTCCTTTCAAGCAGACCACTTGGGTTCAAATACTGATTCTGCCATTTACTAGCCGCGTAACATTGGTCAAGTCCACTTAACCTCTCTCTGTGCCTCAGTTTCCTCCCCAGTTAAAATGGGGAAAATAACAATAGTTACTTCACAGGGTTATTGGAGAAAAAGTACATCAATATATATAAACTGCTGAGAACAGTGACTGTTATATATATATTAGATTTCTTTTTTTAATTATGGATTAAATATATTAAAGAAGGCTTATTGAAAGGCATAGAATTGGAGCAAGGTTTTGAAAATAAAGTAAGATGGAAATAAAAGAGCAAAATTAGGGTGACATGTTTGCAGCACATTAAGGAGCCCTGCTTGATCACAGAGGACTTGTTCTGAGTGTAGGGAAAGTACACTGAGCAGGGCCTGATTATAGGGGCCATGAAAACCTGCTAGTAGTATGGGATGATGAATTTACAGATCATCGAGTCCAACCACCCCACATCACAGTCCCACAGGACTCAAATGACTTGTCCCAAAGGTACAGTCATAGCAAGGGCTCATGTGGGACCCAGACCTCAAGTGGAGTGCTGAGTCTTTTTTGTCCTTTCTTCTTTCCATCCTTCTTTCTTTCACTGGGCATAATGAGTTGAATCAAGCGCATACAATCCTGAGGGGATTTCAAAGTCCAGGAAAAGTGGTCAGTGCTGTGCCTGAGGTGCAGCTATAGTGCTGGCTGAGGGGAGGAAGGTCTTAGGAAGGCTTCAGAGAGTCAATCACACTTGATTAGACTGGTTTGGGTAGGCCACAAGGAGAGAATAAAGGTTCTTGGAGAGGACAGTGACAGTCATGTAGAGACAGCAGTGTTAAGGAAGATTACTCTGCAAGCTGGTGCATTTTGAATTAGAAGGTAAACACATAATGCTCAAAGAGACGAACTGGATAGTAATAATTAACAAGAAGAATAACAATACTATCACTTTTTAAAGGCCTACCTTCAATTTCATGTAATTCATCATTATCCTACAGGGAATGTGCTGCTATTCCCATTTTACAGATAAGGAAAATGAGGCTAAGAGAGATGAAATAACTTGTCCAAGGTCACAGTGCTATGAGGGGATGTTTGTTGTTTTGTTATTAATATTGGCTTTTTAAATTATGAAAAAAAATCTAACCTACAGAGAAGTACAGAGAAAGATACAAAATAATCCTTATAGGCATATTTAGTTCAAATCTGTTTTTTGAAGAAATAATATATTACAGCTATAGTTAAAGTTTCCTTGTACCCCTTCTCAAACTCATTCTCCTGTCTTCCCCTTCAGAGGTAACCAATACATACTCTTAGGTAGGTGTGTATCCTTCTAATCCATGTTTTCATTTATTTCCTTCATGGGTAATCAATAACTAGTATTTAAATATATATTTCTATATCTGTTCTTTTGTGCCCTGTTTTGTTCATTCAGCATTATGTTGTTGAAATTTTGACATATTTTTAATTAAGACATGTGGTCTTATTATTTTTAACTACTGTGTGAGTTCAGTTATATGAAGATACAATTTATCTGTCTTCCTATTGATGAGCAGTTAGGTTGTTTCCATTTGTCATTATTTCCAACAATGCTGTGTGCACATCTCTATATCTGTCCCTGGATACATGTGCAAGAGTTTCTTTAGGGGGTATATGTGCCCAGGAGTGGAATTGCTGGCTCATACTAGAATGAACATCTTCAACTTCATCCACAGATGCCTGAGAATTCCCAGTCTTCATAATCACCTTGTCTCTTTAACTTCGGCCATTCTGACAGATTATGAAATGCTATCTTTTTATAGATTTAAATTACTTTTCCCTGTTTATCTTTTTATGTTTGTTAGCTAAAGGAGATCAATTGAGACATTTGTTGTTGTTGTTAGGTACCACTGAGTTGATTCCAACTCATGGCGACCCATGTGTTAAGAGAGTAGAACTGCTCCATCGGTCAATACTCTTTGGCAACTAGGTTTGTTTTGTTTTTTAGCTTTAATAATCTTTTTAAACATCTCAGGCTCTTGGTTGGAAAACTGAGTAACTGAGGGAAAAGCATCATTAACAATAATAATTAAAGAATGTAGCACATTAGAACAATAACTTGCCCCTTTTAACACTCTGTGAATTGCTTTATATTTTATCACATTCAATTCACCTAACAACATTATGAGTTAGATAATATCATTATCATTTAATAAATTAGAAAACTGGAACTCAGAGACAGCAGTCCATATCATAAGTGTGCCTACAACTTTCTGTCCAATATCCAGTAGATGCCCCGCAGATAAATAAGGATCCTGTTCAAAATTGAACTCATTGTCCTCCCCCATACCGGTTCCTTTTGGCAGCTTCATGCTAGTGATGACCCTCCATCCACCTGAATCGAGGACTGGCAGCTCGTTTTTTTCATTTAACAAAATATCTTGAGTATATTGGATATCTTTATATATTTGTATTTATAGATATAATTCATGCTATATAGTATTCCATATATGGGGTACCATAATGTATTTATCCAGTCACCTATTGGGGATTTGGGATGTTTCTAGTATTTTATAATGCTCTAATTGAGAACAAATATATATATATATGTATATGTTTAGGTATGTGGACTTATCTGGGTGAGCCCTGGTGGTGTAATGGTTAAGAGCTATGCTGCTAACCAAAAGGTCAGCAGTTCGAATCCTCTAGC